TGTGTTGCTTTCCATGTGTCTATCATCAGACATCCTGATGGCGGGCAGGAAAAATTCCCGATGGTGGTTGAATAAGAGCAATTTCGTTTTGGAGGTATTAAAATTTACGAGCCATTTCCTGCCCCAGTTAACCACAGAATAGATAGAGCATGGGGGACACCTGCATTCACGCGAGAGGATCTGGAAGCGAACAACTTCAAAATGACCTTCATTTCACGATTTGATAGGAACGATTGGATTAAATCAATCAGTCATTCAGTAATACCTGGAACTTAAAGTAAAAGACCAGCGTGCCAAACCCAGTCAAACGCCTTCGAGATATTTTGAGCCTACAGTTCGGGCTTCGCCCTTATTATCAAGATCTTGATATACATATTCAGCGATGGCCGTTAGCACATCAGCAGTAGACCTGGCAAAACGGAAGTCATATTTTTTGTCAGAAAGTAGGTCGTGAGAGGTAAGATGCTTAACCACTTCAGCATTGATTAATGTCTCGAATACTTGATCGAAAATCGGTAGGAGATCAAAAAGGCGATTGTTCAAGGGGTCATAAGTTCTACAGGAGGAAGACTTCCAACAAGCTGCAAATAGGAAACAGCGTGTCAATACTTGTAGAGTTTGGAGAGAACTCGAGCTACCTCCAGGGCATATTTCATTAGGACGATGGCTTGGATCCTGTCATCCAGTTGTCTTATAGCAGTCAAATTTAGATATGTCTGAGGCCAGTGACAGAGTTATGCGCATATCACTCAGTAGAATCTCTGTCCTATTGTGGAAATCAGGTGTGGGTACTCTAAAGGAGTCGAGTGTTGAGTTGGAAGAGAATTTCCGAGCAAAGCATTCAATCTTATCTGTTGTGGAAATCAGGAGAAGTTCAAATTGCTTGAATAGATGAGAGATTGAGGATTTGCCAATAATCTTTAATTTGCGAGATGCTATACGTTGTTTCATTCTATCAGAATATAGTAACTTCGCATCTTTGAGAACATGCTTGCACCCGTTATGCGCAACGACAAAGAGATGTCTGTTGCAATCAGGCGCGTCTCTCTAGTACAGCTGGAAAAAAGTGATTCCTGTGGGCTATAGCGGCCCAGCAGGCAGGTGAAAACCAAGGAGATGAAGGCGGTTTAACATGGTATTTTCTTGATGGAATGGAAACATCAGTGCTGACCTTCAACCAGGAGGACACCTGAGACGCGTAAAGTTGAACAGGAGGATTAAAAAAATTAATTCTCAGGGACGCCTGGAAAGAAATCACGGAACGAGTCCCAATCTGTCCGTTGATAACAGAAAGATATTCTATTGGGAGAAGGACAGATATATAGTTAGATACGTAGTGATTATATATATATATATATATATATATATATGTGTGTGTGTGTGTGTGTGTACGTGCTGGCACTGATAGATAAATATACGAAATGTTCAATATATATATATATATATATATATATATATATATATATATATATATATATGTATGTATGTATGTATGTATGTATGGTGGCCTGACGATTGCATCTAGCATGAAACAGACTGTTGCCTCTAAGTGTTGACATCTATGTTCACTTTTATATTTACACACGCTCTATCTCTGATATTGAGCACCTTAACCCATAAATATAGCACATCTTAAGACTATATTTCTTCATATATATATATATATATATATATATATATATATATATATATATATATATATACATATAGCGAAAGAGAGAGAGAGAGAGAGAGATGATATGAATAGACTGATATAGATATAAAAATAGAAAGATATATAGAGATATTTACAAATATACAGAGTGCGATGGATAAATTGTCGTTTAAATTACGCAAAAATGGAAATGACGTTGACATCTTATTTTAACAGATATATTTACCAAAAGGACGAGTTCGGAATTTCCTGTAACAATTCTGGACGGTCTCCTTGTTTAAGTCGGGGAATGCTGCCATAATCACACACACACACACACACACACACAGAGAGAGAGAGAGAGAGAGAGAGAGAGAAAGAGAGGTGACTCGATATATGGGATGATATGGTCGCATAGCGTCTTCCAGCAGCCACCTTTTTGACTCAGGACAGCACTACTTCCTCAAAGCACTGGATGTAGGCCTCATTGGTGAGGTCTGAGGTACCGTGGAAAGATGAGTAGTGGCATAAAGTCGCCATAAACACCATGATGCACTGTCCTCAGATTGACACCAATACGCTCTGAAATGTTCATATTGAAGCATCTTGTCTCAGGATTTTTCTTATCGATCTTAGCCTTCCTATCTATCTATCTATCTATCTATCTATCTATCTATCTATCTATCTATTTCAGGCCTTTTTCTAAACCCTAACCTAACGATTTCTTGGTGTATCAATACAAAGTACAGTGTATGTATGTATGTGTGTCCACTGGTCCGATTTCAATGATTCATAGTTCGTTAAAAAGTCCTAGAAAAGTTAGGCACAAGGAACGATTTTCGTTGAGCTCAGATTCAGGATTGCCAGATTATGAGAGGTTAAAAATATATATTAATATATTATACTAGCCATTATCGTTGCTTTCATGTTTGAAGGGGGTGTAATTCTTATTTTCCTTTTGTATCCAAAATTGCATTTACCTTAAAAATTTAAGCTAGCTAAAAATTAAGCAAGCTTAAAAGCCAACCTGTCGGGCGGCATATAGGCTAGCTCCTATGGACGATTCTTGGTTTGACCATCATCAAAATAGCTAGGGAGAGTAGATACGATAGGCATTAATAAACTCAAAACTGATCATTGCATTTACCTGTTGAATAAATGTTTAAGTTTATCTTTTAAAAGTTCAATGATAATTATTTTGCTGCTACTTAATTTAAAGAGGATTTGATGTACGTAGGTCCTTATTTTCCGTAAAAATAATCATTTTTATTTCATGGGTGACAGAATAGGGGACAACTTATAAAATAAAATTAGTATAGTGTAATGATTTGATGAGTTAGAGAAACATAATAGCTAATTAAGTAAAACCTATATTATGAAATATATATCAATAAATGCGAAATTGGAGCATAATTCTCCCACGATTTCTGAGAATAAAAAGCCCCAACTATACTTTATAGCAATTTGGTATTTACTCGACCTCCCACAGAGTCGTTTTGTGACACAAGGTCGGTTTAATATGGGGAGCCCGAGTGCGTACAAACAGATGACAAACAAAAATTCCCTAGCTTCTCGCAACCGACGATTGCGCTGGCCTCAGAGCGAGCACTGATCCCTCTCATTAGCGAAATGAGAGGGCGCGAGCCTCGGGCATCTGTTCTTCAGGCATGGGCACCTCTCAGTATAATTTTCCTCAGTTGCAACGCTGTCCTTCGACGGGGCAGCCCCTGAACGCACTCTGTCCAAAGACCAAGACGCAATTGAGTGATGATAATTGAACGTATTAGAAACTATTTTGTCCTAATTTGGTATTTACTCGCCTCTCGCTTCCACGAAGTCACGATTTGACACATGGTCGGTTTAATGTGGGGAGCCCGAGCGCGTACATCCGGAATAGGAACAAAAATTGCCCGAGACACCGCAACCGTCGGTTGCGCTGGCCTCGGGACGAGCACCGATCTGTCTCTTTAATGCAATGAGAAGATGCGGCCTCGGGAAGCTGTTCACCAGGGCCGGCCCCTCTCAGTATTAATTTCCTCTGTTGCAAATCTGTCTTTCTACGGAGTTGCCCCTGAGCGGACTCTGCCCAAAGACAGAGACGCAACTGACAGATAACAAATAATGTGTTACAAACTACACGAAAGAGTAATTTACACATTAGGTATTTGCTCTGTTTCTCCACTAAGACGAATTGTGAGACGAGCGCTCTTTTACCCAGGCTGGGAACAAAAATTACCCGCAGCTCTGGCAATCGTCGGTTACGCTGGCTTCGGTGCGAGCACCGATTCCTTTTTCTGGTGCAATGAGAGGGTGCGAACTCGGGCAACTGTTCCCCAGGGCTGGGCACTACTCAGTATAATTTTCCTCACTTGTGACTCTGTCCTTTGAAAGAGCCGCCACTGGTCGCACTCCGCCCGAAGACAGAGACGCAGCCGTTAGTACAGAAAAGTGTTTGAAATTTGTATTTTTATCGGCCTTCAACAAGTTGGCATCTATTTGTAAAACTTTTCCTAAAATCTTTGTTTCAATGATTTCAAATAGTGAATATATCTTACTTTGCGAAGCGATAGCGAGCAGGTGAAGCCTGCTATATATATATATATATATATATATATATATATAGTTTATGCAAATTTAGGTAATCCGTATGGGTAGACCTGAGGAGGATGATATCCAGAGAGCTCAATGTAAAATTCAGAGCAGATATGTTTGAATAAAAGACAGACCACGTTAAGATTCCATGTAATAAGCTATTTCACCATAACCCCTTTAACAGGGTTCTGGATCATCAGACTTTACTTCCAAAAGCTGAAATGAAAAAAAAAAAATTTATTAAAATATATATATATATATATATATATATATATATATTGTGTGTGGGTATGTCACCGCAAAACGTATACTCTTTTCCGGTGTATCTTTAATGTATTAAACATCCGAGAATATTCATATTTCTCACTTAAACCGTCTTTGACTCCCCTCTTTAAAACTTCTCTCTGTTAAATTTTAATCTCTCTCTTCATCTTTAGACCTTCCTGTTCTTCTCCTGTTCTTCTCTCGTCTGTTACCCCTCTCTATAGCTTTTACTCTAACATTCATCCCACACTCTCATACATACACGCTCACTAAATTTTATTTTTTATTCCCGGAGTTGTTTTTTCTGTTTTCTTTTTGAATTTGTAGGTCTTATGAATGGTATCATTTTTACCATTCCAATACTAGTGTTTAAGCCTTTATCCTTACTCTGTCCTGGACATTGAGTTCTACCTGGATTCTATCTTTGAATTATTTTTTATACACATATATATATGTATGTGCATGTATGTATGTATATATTTATATATTTTAGATATATGATTGCATATGTATGTGTATATTTACCACTAATATTATCAATATCTATCTATCTATCTATCTATCTATCTATCTATCTATACAGCTTGTTTGGCTGTATCACAGCTCGTCTGTGTGACTAGACATCCGACTGCTTCAAGCCGGGATCGAAACTCGACCAATTTGATATTAGTCCGAGACTCCTACCCTAGAGAGAAAGGGATTTTTGACGCATTATATAGATGCTATATTAACGCCATATCTATCTATCTGACTAATGTCAAATCAGCCGGGTTTCGATCCCGACTTGAAGCAATCGGACGTCTAGCCATACTGAGGAGCCGTGATACAGCGAAACAGTCCGTCTGTCTTTACATATATATATATATATATATATATATATATATATATATATATATATATATATATATATATATATATATATATATATATATATATATATATACAGTGTATGTATGAATGTGTGTCCACTGGTCCGATTTCAATGATTCATAGTTTGTTAAAAAGTCCTAGAAAAGTTAGGCACAGGGAACGATTTTCGTTGAGCTCAGATTCAGGATTGCCAGATTATGTGAGGTTAAAAATATATATTAATATATTATACTAGCCATTATCGTTGCTTTCATGTTTCAAGGGGGTGTAACTCTTATTTTCCTTTTGTATCCAAAATTGCATTTACCTTAAAAATTTAAGCTAGCTAAAAATTAAGCAAGCTTAAAAGCCACCCTATCGGGCGGCATATAGGTTAGGCTAGTCCACTTTTATATTTACATACGATCTGTCTCTGATACTGAAACCAATTTAACCGATAAATATAGCATATCTTAAAATGACTTTATTAGTTAAATATTAGAGCAGACAGGGTTTTTCACCTTCGAACCACAGTAGTTGACTTATATCGAGTTTAACATACACTAAGTGTCTATTACTGAATAACCAAATATTTTCCCACTTGGCAATTGGCAGTTTGACTGGTTTTAGCCATTCTGTATAATTGTGTGGCAATGAGAAATATGCGTCATTTTATACCCGTTTGGGAAGCTATACAACGAAATCTATAAAAGTTATTTACAGTTGCTGTCTGTAAAAAGCACGTAAGAATACTTACTAAGCATCAATGAGTTTGTGATTCTTCTACACTTGAAGCCTTTTATGTACTTGCCTTTCGCGTCGGATCTAACACGTGGTCATTTGCACGTGTGCAGATGACAACGCTGTCTATGTCATCATCATTATAGATAGATTACTATAATAATTACTAGCCGACGTACCCGGCGTTGCCCGGGTGTACATAGTTGCAATTGTATAACTGCACTTCCCTCACCCCCTGTCTAGAAATATCTGCCTGTGTTCCAGCTCGCATGCATCATACGTTGATATACAAAGATCCTCGACCACCCGCTCATAATTTTTATGGTATGTCCACCGCAAGTGTTTGATTGTTCTTAATAAAGAAATTCCATCGATAAAATCTTCTTGTGTGGTCGTTGCTCGGGGCTAAATTGTTTCAATGTTTTAGATATTCAATAAGTTTCCTATGGTCGTAATAACTTTCAAATAGTATGGCATTGTTTACAAATCTAATAATGAAACAAAACCAGGGATGATGGGTCAGGGCTTAATTCAACTGCAAGTGCAAACGCATGGACGACCAATCCTCCACATGTTTACTGTAAAGCTGGGGTTAATAAGAGGTTCTTCAGGAATTTTTCTCTTTTAACGCTTAAATAATCCTTCTCAAACAATCTTTGCATCAAAGGTTGTTCCAATGCCAATTTAGGATGGAATCATATGAAGAAACTATTGGCTAAATGGCTAAAAGGGGATTTTAATCTTAGTTTATCGCAGATTTTGTTCGCTTAACTGAAATAAACTAAACCAAACATTCACGCAAGACAATTTGTTTGTTATATTTAATTTACATGGCAAATTTGGAAAGCATCAGTTTTTGTGGTTTTTCGTTATACGTGAGGAAGCGAGCAGGATTAAAACCACACTAACTTATTTCTTGCATGATGGCAAATCTTTTGCGATATGATTGAAGAAAATCGGATAAAAAAAGAGGAAGTTATTTAAAACCAATGTTACAGAGAAACTATCAAGGACTCTAAATAACCCTCGTATCATGAGCTATATTTTGAATTAAGTGCAAAGAACATCAATTCATCCAGTAAAAAATTCCTTCGTGTGTAACTTTGCCTTTGCAAAAAGTCGTACCTACCTTCAGTTTTATTGATTTTTCTCCCAAATCCAGAAGGCCTGGAGATTGAAAAGTTGATGTTGACCTCTTTTAATGAATTTGCAACATGCGTGTACAATGTCATTGCAATCGGTCAAGAAATCTGGACGTGCATAAATGGCATACACACACGTACAAGCAAAAATATCTTCTGTTTTATAGATGTATGTAATAATAATAAATTAAAACTTAAAGAAGGAATTTACTCTATCACCTGTAATAATTGCCACAAGGAATAAATAGGAGAAACCTCGAGGAATTTAAACAAAGGTTTGTATTAACGCAAAATAGATCTTTTACAAAAGAACACACTGAATGAATTAGTTGCTCATCATAATGAATCTGGTCATAAGCTTCGTTTTAAATAATACTACTTTAATTAAAAGAGAAAGCAATTTACGAAGAGGAAAATGTATAAAAAGTGCTTTAATCGCTGTATCATCCAGAGTAAATTTGCGTCTAGTTTCTTCAAACATTTTACCTTTCTTGGCAGGTCTTCTATTATCATGATGTGGAATACTTAAAATTAAAAGTGATGAAATATAAACAAAGACAAATGAACTAAATTTATTTGGCTACACTATATACCGAAACGTATTTTAAAAAAAAATTAAATATAAAAATTTACTATTTCGCCATCCCTTCCTTCTTCCTGCGCATGTGTAGTCAAAGCAATATAAACGTCATTTTAATCCGATGAAGTTCTAAAAGATGAAACGAATCGCACGAACATTTTTTACAAAACCATACCTATCTTTCTATTTATCTATATATCTGTTGTGAGACCGTAACATACGTACAACATGGACTCTTCCAGGACTATATAAAGCATGCGATATAACACTCTAGAAGAAGAAGAGGAAAGAGAGAGAGAGAGAGAGAGAGAGAGAGAGTATTGTAATACAGTAGTATCAGTCGCGTACGACTACCAATATTGGACACTAGCACATAGTGAGCTCAGCGTTCCGTGTTTTCCTTCCGTGGTCCCGATTTGGGGTCCACATCAGTGGCGACAAAGAATTCGAGAAACGCACTCACGCCGAAACTTCAATACCTTACCAGTCCCACATCAGTGGCGACGAAGAATTCGAGAAACGTATTCACATCGAAAAACCTCAGTATCTTGCCAGTCCCACATCAGTGGCGACAGAAAGATTCGAGAATTTCGTTCTCACCATATCAATAGCGACAGAGTACTGGAAAAATACACAGAAACTCCACGCGTTCCCACAGCAGTGTTGAACGAGAAATTAAACTGGTATTACTACATTAGCGATTTAAAAGCAACACCCAGCGTCTACATATAAAAAATATTTCGATACCAAACAGCAGTGACGAACTAGCGATTCGAGATCTACGGAATATTAAAGTCTATCCAAATAACATTACGAGAACGATTTCTTACACACCCACACACAGAAAAAAAGCAGTTTGTTCATAAAACAAACTGACAACACAAGAGCCGAAGTACTACTTACGACTCAAGTTTTCGAAAAAAAACTATCTAAAATTTTTTTATGTAACTGAGTTGAACTCGTGCATAAAATTATTCTCCCCTCAAATTCACTGAGGCGAGTTTTCTCTTTTTTGTAGCTCTATAAAAAAAAAAAAAAAAAAATACATAAGTGTGGTGAAAATTTATACAATTACGTTAAAATTAACGGAACCATGGAATTTAAAAAAAGCTAAACACATAATTAGTTTAATTTAACTAATTGTCTGTCCATATTTTTTTTTTGTAAAAAAAGAAAAAACTATCAAGATTTTTTTTGTGTACCCCCCCTTGGTACACGGGTTTCAAAGCAACAAAAAATCGTTGTCATTTTTGTTTGTCTAAATATGGAAGATTTTCAAAAAGTAATCGTCCAAATGCTAAAAGTACATTTGGATCAGCAACAAAAGTCAGAAGAAAGAAGACAACAACTATTTTTAAATTACATAAACAACAAATGGAATTCCAACAAATTACGCTTCAGAATGCTGAACTACAACAGAAACAACTTAAAGAATTACTCGTAAATGCATTAAAAGGCTCAAACTCTGAAAAAGATACATTCTCCCAGAGTACAATCTACAATTCAATGGAAACCTTTGAATACGTACCAGAAAACGACAAAACGTTCGAGGCTTTTTACAGGCGCTACGAAGATATTTTCCACGTAGACTGTGAACAATGGCACAGTAAAAAAAAAAGGTACGTCTACTATTGAGAAAACTGGGAACTAAAGAACATAGTAGGTTCGTAGACTCCATACTACCCAAGAAAACGACTGATTTGGATTTTTCAGAGACTATTAAGCTCCCATCAGAACTATTCGGGCCTAACACAACCTTGTTCCACAAACGTTGGAAATGCCTGAACACAGTCAAAGACAACCAGCAAGATTTTCTAACGTTTGCAGCATCGGTAAACAAACTCTGTAATGATTTTAAACTAGCCGAAGTGACTGCCGATGATTTCAAGTGCTTAATTTTCGCACAAGGTCTAGTATTATCAGAAGACGCCGAAGTCAGACGACGGGTACTGACCAAGCTTGAGAACGAACAAGGATTGACTCTCCAAAAACTGGCAGAAGACCGTCAAAAAGTAATATCTGTAAAGTGTGACTCAAACACTATCGTGGAATCAGGTGTGGCTCAGATTAATAAAATCAGAAGCAAGTCTACATCCTATTCCCCAAAAAGACAAAAGGCAAATCTCAGGTCCTAAATTCCGCAGTAACTAAAACCCAAATAGGTTAAAGAAACTGCCCGGACCATGTTACCATTGTGGTAAATGGCATTGATGAAATTCTGTCCACTTAAGAACAAAAAATATTGCAAAATTGCAATAAAAGTGGCATACTTTAACTCGGTGCTGGTACGCCAACAGAACGAGAAAAACCCAAAAATAAAATTAGGCAAGCTCAATCTGACAATATTGTCGATAGAATTTAAGGAAATATGTAACTGCGGATATTTTCAATAATTCCATTAAATTCCAGCTTGATTCGGGTTCCGATCTTTCAACCATTAATTGGCGTACTTGGCGAAAATTAAACAAACCGACCTTATTAAAAACGGATAAAACAGCAAAATCCTAACTGGCGAAAAGATTAACATTTTAGGCGAGGTAATACTTATAGTAACACTAAATGGAGTTACCAAAAAGCTCAAATCCTACGTATTGAAAAACTTCAGATAACTTATTTGGAACAGATTGATAGAAAAATTCAATCTTTGGGATTGCCCAATGAGTACATTTTGTCGCAAGATACAAAGTACAACGTCCAATTTGGTAAATCTCAAAAAGGAACTCAAGCAACAATTTCCCCAGGTTTTTTTTGGCGGCCTTGGGAAATGTACTAAAATGAAAGCTAAGTTCAAGGTGAAGGACGGTGCACAACCGGTATTCAAAAAGAAATGGAATGTCCCTTTCGCTGCTCTAGAGCAAATCAACAAAGTGTTAGATAGACTCGAACAAGCAGGTATTCTGTCAAAAACAAATTTCAGCGAGTGGGCAACACCTACGGTCTACGTAAAAAAGAAGTCCAATCAAATACGAGTATGCGCAGATTTTTCCACAGGGTTAAACGATGCCTTGCAAGATCACCACTATCCTCTCCCAAGCTCTGAAGAAATTTTCAATAAACTCAATGGTGGAATTTTTTTTTTCTAAAATCGACCTCTCGGACGCATACCTTCAGATAGAGGTGGAAGAAGAAAGTTCCAAATTGCTCTGCATAAACACCCATAGAGGGTTGAACAAATGCAACAGACTGGCTTTTGGAGTAAAGGTTGCGCCTGCAATTTTCCAGCAGGTCATGGACGCCATGCTGGGCGACCTTGACTACGCAACAGCCTATTTTGATGATATACTGGTTACTAGTAAAACTACGGCAGAGCACTGGAACCATATAATAAACGCATTCGAAAAGATACAAGAATACGGTTTTAAGGTTAAGGAGGCAAAGTGTGACTTTTTCTTACCAGAGATTAAATACTTAGAGCACGTCATAAATAAAGACGGTCGTCGGCCGGATCCAGAAAGAGCCAACGCGATCAGAAACATGCCGGCCCCAGATAACGTTTAAGCATTACAAAGCTTCCTCGGCCTAGCTAACTTTTACCAAGGGTTCATTAAGAACATGCAAAATTTAAGAGGGCCTCTCAACCAACTCTTAAAAAAGGACAAACCATGGTCATGGACCCCGGAATGCCAAGACGCATTCGAGAAGATCAAGAAAACTCTTACTCCGGACCTCTCGCTCACCCATTACGACCCTAGTCTCGACATCATAGTCGCAAGTGATGCAAGCTCGTACGGCATCGGTGCTTGCATTCTACATAAACTGCCAGATGGTTCGCGAAAAGCTGTCTCATGCATCAAGATCTCTACTTCCAGCTTAGAAACAATATTCCCAAATAGAGAAAGAAGCTCTAGGGATAATATTCGCTGTGACAAAGTTTCACAGATATCTACATGGTAGACGGTTCATACTACAGACGGACATTATAAACCTCTAATTACAATTTTTGGTTCTAAAAAAGGTCTGCCAGTCTATACTGCAAATAGACTACTTCTTTGGGGAACGATTCTCTTAAACAACAATTTCAAGATAGAGTTCCTAACATCCAAAAATATTTGCCATGCAGACAGTTTATCGAGACTTATTCCAAAAAATACAGAAGTCTTTGAAGACTCCATCATTGCTACTCCAAGGACAAATTGTGAAATCAAAAACATGATCGCGAGTACCATAAGAGAGCTCCCAGTTACTTTGGCCGTCATAAAAAGGGAGTCTAGAGAGAATGAATTCATTCAATCCATAAAAAGCAAAATTCGCAATAAAGGCTCCAATGTGCCTGAAGTTTTCTCCCTCTGCGATGATGTCCTACTATACAATGACCGCGTAGTGATTCCAAACAGCCTACAAAGAAAAATCCTCAGGGATTTTCACATGGGACATCCGGGGAAGAACCGTACGAAAAGCCTCATGCGCTGCTATGTTTATTGACCAAACATGGACAAGGACATAGCAGACATGATAGAATCACGCAAAGGATGCGCGCTTGCAGCAAAAGCTCCAACCACGACGTCCAAACCATGGCCAAAAACAGACCATCCATGGCAAAGAATTCATGTCAATTTTGCAGGGTCTATAGACAACATGTACTACCTCATTGTTGTGGATAGCCACTCAAAATGGCCTGAGGTCCTACAATGCAAAAGACCAACCACAAACTGCACGATCGGATTTATACACGAGCTATTCGCGTGTTTTGGCGTGGTAGGTTGTGTAGTTACAGATAATGGCACTCAATTCACATCAAGTGAATTTAGAGACTTCTGCAAGTCATATCACGTGGACCACATTACAACGCCTCAGTACCATCCTAGGTCGAATGGCCAGGCTGAAAGGTTCCTGGACACTCTAAAAAGGGTTTTAAAAAAGGCACTAGGCACACCGACAGATAGAACATTGCAACAGTTTCTGCAGATGTATCGGATAACCCCTAATCCGAACACGCCTATGGGAAGCTCGCCTGCAGAAACAATGTTCGCAAGGAAAATCAAGTCTGTCTTCGACAAACTTATTCCACGGCAAGCAAAGTTAAAAAAAAACCGTATCGCCTCATAAGAAATATTTCAATCCTGGCGATAAAGTCTTTTTCAAGGCTTACAAGAACAACATAACATTCTGGGAAGTAGGCACCATAAATCAAAGAACTGGTCTATATTGTCCAAGGACCGAAAAACACTCACAAACGCCATTGGAACCAGCTCAGAAAATGCCGTTTGAAGGAATCTGAGGAATCACTACAAAATAACCGTGAAGAGCCGATCGACGTACTTTTCGATCACTTCGATCTCGACACGCCCCAAGTCTCTCCTGAAGTGCGACGCTCAGGAAGGAAAAGGAAATTTATTCAACCCCTCGACGTAAATCTCAAGAGAAAAAAGTATTAACAGTTTTATGTTTTTTTTTCTCCTTTTCAAAAGAAAAAAAAGAAGAAAACTCTTGGAAGGGGGGTGTTGTGAGACCGTAACATACCTAACAACAACAGAGAGAGAGAGAGAGAGAGAGAGAGAGAGAGAGAGAGAGAGAGAGAGAGAGAAAGAGTATTCTAATACCGTAGTATCAAGAAATTTAATGACAAAGTGGAAATTTTTGTTTTGTTCTTTAAGACTTCGTCGGTTTAAAGTGTTTTCTGTTTTCATATCTTCTTATCCATATATCTATTCTGTTCTTACCTATCAATTATAGTCTATTCTTATCTGTTTATTCTATTTTCTTCTACTGCATTCTTATCTATTATCCTTATCCATCTATTCTAATCTATTCTTATCCATATATCTATTCTGTTCAATTCTATCTAGTCTTTCCTATTCTTATCCATATATCTCATTATGTTCAATTCTATCTATCTATCTGTCTATCTATCTATCTATCTATCTATCTATCTATCTATATATCCTTTTCCATTTTTTCTATTCTTACCTACTTTTCTACTCTTTTCTACTCTTATCTATCTATCTATCTATCTATCATTTCTATTCTTACCTATTTTATTCTTATCTAGCTATCTAGCTACATAGCTAGCTATTCACCTACCAATTCTATTCTTATCTATCTATCTATCTATCTATCTATCCATCTATCTATCTATCTATCTATCTATCTATCTATCTATCTATTCTCTTTTATTCTATTCTCTTCTTATCTATCAAATCTATTTTTCTCTATTCTTACCTATATATTCTTATCTCTCTCTCTCTCTCTCTCTCTCTCTATCTATCTATCTATCTATCTATCTATCTATCTATTCGTATTCTTATCTATCTCTATCTATCTATCTAGCTATTCGTATCTCCAATCTATTCTTCTATTCTCTTTTATCCATCTTCTCTTCTCCATCTATCAATCTATTTTTCTATTTTCTTCATATATTCTTATCTCATTCATCTATCTCTATCTATCTATCTATCTATCTATTCGTATCTATCTATCTCTCTATCTATCTATCTATCCATCCATCTATCTATCTCTCTCTCTCTATCTATCTATCTATCTATCCATTCATCTATCTGCATCTATCTATCTATCTCATCTATCTATCTATTCGCATCTCTCTCTCTCCATCTATCTATCTATCTATCTATTCTCTCTCTCTCTCTCTCTCTCTCTATCTATCTATCCATTATCTATGGATGTCTTTCCTTTGATTTATCTGTACAAATTTGATGTTACAATTTGAGGATCCCATTTGTTAACCGGTTATTTCGATTATACTTATCAATTGATATTATTCTGAATTGGTTCAGTGAAATAAATAAAATCGAATGATGTTTCAAATCATCTATCCATCTAAAATTCTTTGACAGATTTTTCTCTCGCTAACCAATTATTTTGATCTATCAAGTCGCACCTCTCTCTCATCCGATTATTTTCCTCAAACGTTTTTGACATTATAGTAAGTCATACAATGACTAAATGCTATCATTAAGCATCGCTATGAGAAAGCGGTTGCATACAGCTGACAGTTTAGATATTTTTGAACGAGATTGGCGATATGCATTGATCTATCTATCCAACGTATTGATCTGATGAGGCTCTCCTGGGCTGAGTTTTTATCTATTTGTCTAATCTGCATTGTTTGGTGAAACTACCTCCAGAGCAGATTATTCTATGTTCAATTTCCTTTTCTACTATATTAAAGTGAATTAACTGATACTGTGATATCGAAAGGAATAGAAATGAAACTAAACCTTTCCAAAACAGAAACTATGATCTGGAATTTGAATGAAAACAGTGATGGCAAATACACTATCTATCCATCTAATCTATCTATCTATCTTAGTAAATATTCTCATATCTCTCTCTTTCTCAGTTATCTATCTATCTATCTATCTATCTTTTGTTCCTTTGCTGTTCTCTTTATCTATCACAACTCTTTTTTCTTTTTTGGATTCTACCTATATATTTTACCCACTGGGGCGAAGGAATGAATTTATCTATATAAACTATGTTTCATTAACTCAGTTTACTGGAGATCATATTACAATCTATCAAAACTCCTGAATATGGCAATAATTGTGGATGTCTTTTCGATTTGAAAAATCTGTAAAATTTCATCTTAGAAATTGAGGATCCCAAAAGAAAGAGTTAACCGGAAACCCTGAATATGCTTATAAATTGATAACAACAGAATTGGTTCAGTGAAATAAATAAAATTTCGAAATATAAACAAATCCTAAAATGTATGAAAAAAAAACGTTGTGAATATGGCAATTTGAAGATGAAGACAACAGCCAATTATTTTGAAATAGTTACAATAATTCATCTCAACAATATAGACGCATCAACCGAAAATTTTCATTGGTCAAATGTTTTTGATATTATAAGATGGAGTCAATAGTTCGAACGATAAATGGTTATCATTACTTCATCTCTAAAGAAAGACAACTTGAATAAAGCTGACAGTTTACATTGGTTTTTGTTGAGAATAAGGCAATAAAGATTGGTCCATATTGAACGATGTTGAATAGTTATGAGGCATCTCAGAAATATAGACTGATCTTTAATAAAGCCGGAAAGCAACTTGGTCGAAATGTTGGTGAATATATATATATATATATATATATATATATATATCAGAAATTTAGACACATTTCTACTATATTAAACTGTATTTATATCATTCTTATTCCAATTAATTACCACTATCATCAGCATTATCAGTACGCCGACTTCAGGAGGGGGAGCCTATTATGAACGTTTTGAATTTGATATCTATAAAATTATATGCAAATTTAAATAGTTCAATGTGCTTATTGGTTCTGTCTAATAACAGAGAGCATCGTTTAAAAAAATGGCAGAGTTATTGCCAAAGAAAATCGTTAAAGGAAATTCGTGATGGATCAGCTGTTCAAACGGGTTAAAAATAGTGACAATTGCTTGGCTTCGGCTGGTGCTTGTAACATGATACTCCAATCCATTACAACATGCAATTAATATACACCAAGCTTTTACGTAGATTAAATAGGTGCGGCACAATAAAGAAAATCTTTTTCTTTAATCATTTTACCTCATGCAAGGCAATAAAGCCACCAAGACGCAAAGGGTCTAATGAATGTTAGAAAATACGAGGAAAAATACTATTAAAGAGAGAGTACAATAAAAGAATTAAGAAGACAGAAGATAACGGTTGACATTGCATTTAAATTTTTGAATATGAGAAGTGCGATAGAAGCATAAAAACTTACAGTTACATGTAGCCATTTCAAATGTAAAATGATGAGACCTAGCTGCCAATCAAGTACTGCGCTTAAATTCATAAATTACCACAGAGGAAAGTTCATCAGAACAATTATCATGAAATAGTGGTGGAAAAGAAAGAGAAGATTGTGTTCCGTCAGTTTTCCAAGTAAAGGAAAACTTATTTAAAACAATAAATATTCAAAATCCTGTGTCTGGATTCCAACATTAACTTTGGTAGGGAATACCTAAGCGCTATTTTGCTCTAACACTTGATTTTTATTTTTCATTTTGAAGAAAATTTTTAAAACTTTAATATTTTATCTGCTACGTTTTAAAATTAAATTAAAATTTTATTCTGTGCCCATGAAAACTTTTAATATAATTTGTTAATCGTGACAAAACGAGTTTCGAAACCAATTAAGGTCGTAGGGGCACAAAACACCTACTGCAGCCGTAGTTATGTGTCTAGAGCAACGTAATCTGGCGGAGTCCAACCGTCTTCAGAATGGTTTTTAAATCTAAGTTTTCCTTCTCGTAGACTGGTTGCCAGCTCCCCGCGAGTAAACCAAGTTAGCCTCGCTATTTAACCCATAGTTGTGGGGTGGTGGAGAGAAGCGTTTCATTCAAACGTTTGTACCTAAGTGGATATAACGAACGGGATTCATCTTCGGCTCGACGATTTCCTTTTCCGAGTCGATAACAGCTACACTATCCACACAACCAATACTTAGTTTGTGTGATAAAAAATATGGGAAGAAAAACAAAAGACATTGTTATTTCGAATCAGACAGGGACAATTGAAATGTACAGGACGCATAATGAGAAAAGAGGATCTGAATAATTTTACACTTACAGGACATAATGGTGACAAAAGGAACAGAGAGAACCATCGAGAAATCTAACTAACGAGCTTGTGTAAATCGATGGTAAAACGCGGTCTTGGAGGGCTAATAAGGTTACAAAGATAGGAAATTGTGGAGAGCCATGATCACCTATATCCTGAAAAGAAGATTTGATTGGGCTTGCAGTTCTGTTATTTTTTAAAGAAATATTTTTACATTATTTATATTATTCGGACTATTGTACTCATCTTTGTCGCCATATTTATTACAACGTTTCGCCCGTTGTACGTTCCGACCTTCTTCAGGTGGTTGGAATGTCGAACTGAATCCTTTATTTCACTCACTGGGGTAGACTATTCTAGTTCCATAGAATATTACCAGTAATAAAAAATTTTGTCAGTATTAAATAATCCATTGAGTTTGATATGCCGTAGAACAAAATAAACCAAACCAATCTAAACCAAAGAATACATACTCTATTCATACGAATCTATCCTTAAAATGTTGTCGGCATTAAATAACCCACTGAGGTGGATATGCTGTTTAACAAAATAAACCAAACCAAACCAATAAAATTATTTCCCTCAAGAAACGAATTATTCTAGATTATCCTTAAAGTTTATGTATTAAATTAGTGAACCCGTGCTATAAAAAATGATGGCAATTGTTAGAAAGTTTTAATAATTTAATTTGGATGCAATGAAAAAAATTTTTGAAACAATGTATTGACATTTAATAAAGCGGCGATAAAAAAAAATCATAACTAAAATAGAAGCCATTAAGCCGTTTAATTATATCTTTTATATCTATTTAACATGGTATCTATGATTCATTGATTACTCCTGGTAATATATAAATCGTTTTTTGCTCAATATCTTTTCACGTTAAAAATTTTATGTGTTTAATAAAACAGTGAAATGGAAATATCTCTCGGAAGAAAGATAGATTGACAATAAAGCAATTTACGACGACGAAAATGTATAAAAAGTGCTTCAATCGCTGTATCATCCAGAGTAAATTTGCGTCTAGTTTCTTAAAACATTTTACTTTTCTTGACAGATCTGTTATCATCTAAAAACTCATGATAACAGAAGACCTGTCAAGAAAGGTAAAATGTTTGAAGAAACTAGACGCAAATTTACTCTGGATGATATAGCGATTAAAGCACTTTTTTTAATACATTTTCCTCTTCGTAAATTGCTTTCTCTTTTAATTAAAGTAGTATTATTTAAAACGAAGCTTATGACCAGATTCATTATTGATGAGCAACTAATTCATTCAGTGTGTTCTTTTGTAAAAGATCTATTTTGCGTTAATACAAACCTTTGTTTAAATTCCTCGAGGTTTCTCCTATTTATTCCTTGTGGCAATTATTACAGGTGATAGAGTAAATTCCTTCTTTAAGTTTTAATTTATTATTATTACATCTATAAACAGAAGATGTTTTTTTTGTTCGTGTGTGTAAAATTTATGCTCCAGAGGATTGCAATGACATTGTAATTTTAAAAAAAGAGGTCCTCAACTTTTCAATATTTGTTTTGGGAGAAAAATAACAAAACTGAAGGTGGTAAAAAGGCTGAAAAATTTTTACCGGATGAACTGGTGTTCTTATCATCCATAATAACATACCCATGGTAACAACCAAAATTTGAATCATTTTCGATCAAATGAGATCACGTTGCGGTGCAAAAAAGAAACGAGAGACAGGCGGTTATAACAATTATTTATTTATTTGGTCAAATTTGAACGTCCAAAATTTGTAAGGTTCTCTGTCTGCCTTCAGGGCCGCAAAATTGTAACTAAAAATCAAAACTGTAAACAAAATATGCTATATTTATCCCCAAAGAGGCTTTTTTGTATTTTAATGCGTTGCAATCCCGCCTGAAAGTAAAGTAGAGAACACCGAACGAGCTGTTTCATACACAACCACATACGAACTGTACTCGATACATATTGGTCAACAGTATACATACACTATTCCATTTACCAGCATACACACACATATATATTCACAAGACGTAAAAAAACATAAGGACTTGGACTTTTGGTTATATATATATATATATATCCATATATATATATATATATATATATCCACACATCCATTGGTTATAATTTATTTCCTCAGGGAATTTCTTTTTTTCCCTGGCATACATATAAATAAAAAAAATAATTTAAATACATATAGTTTTACATATTTTGATATATTTATGTCACAGATAGAGAGTATGGTAACAAACATGGTCAAAATTACAGAGGGAAGGGAGATACAATGATTTTAAATTTATTTTTATTACAATACTTAATAGTGAGAAAGTGGGGGTAAAGGCCAGATATTGACCTGTTTAATAGGTCATCTCACAAAACGACATAGAGAGAAAAAAGAGAAGTAAATAAGAAATAAGAGGTATTAACGGTTTATAAACAAAGGAGATTATACATTTGGAAATTAAATATATGTGTATACATTTTTTAAGTGATAATTTGGAAAAACCACATTTATATATTTTTTGCAACGTTTGAAAGTAAAAGTTACCCAAAAATTAAACTAAATAAATTAATTTGTATAGGAAAAATATATATCATCAATATTGTGAATAACAGTTATAATATTTCAAATGAAAAATATTTATTATAATAAAATAAATATTTAAATTTATATAATTAAAAAAAATAATGGATAAATATTGTAATTTCAAATATGATAATGTTACCAAACTTTCAGAAGATACGAAAAATTTTACATAAAATAAATAGACAGTTTTATTTTATAACACGTCTATATTATTTAATGAACTGTTGAAATATATATATATATATTATAATATATATATATATATATATATATATATTATATTATATACACACATCACAGGGATAAAAATACATACATATTCACATATGCA